CAAGGAGATGATGAACTTCCTGTCGCAAGAGATTTTCGTGAGATGGGTCCCTGAAAAGGGACGGGGAAGGTGGGGTGGTGGGAGGGATGGAAACGAAAGGAATGGTGAAGCCGATATTTATGACTTCCAGTACCCATTTGTCCGATGTTATTTTGACCCATTGGTGATAGTAAGGTCGTAAGCGGTGGTGGAAAATGGGTTTTGCGTTTACAAGAACGATTGGTAGCATGCGCTTGCCCCCGACAAGGGAGTCAAACTTGCTGTTTTGAGGCAGGCGTGCCCGTCAGTTTGGAGGCGGGCGTGCCCGCTACTCTAGGTGGTGGTGGACGCCTTCGTTGAGGGTGCTGTCTAGGTCGGGACTGGTCGAACGGGCGATTTTGCTGTCTCTGAGGCTGATAATCATACCGTCTTTGGTACGGAAAATAACGACGGCGGCGGAATGGTGGTACATACATCCCCAGCGTGCGAAGTGTTGTTCTTGAATCTTTGCCGGTATGAAGCACCTCATCTGTCTTTTCCGCAAATAATTTTACCTTGTCAAACGGAAGGTCTTCTACCTTGGAGTGTAGCTCCTTGGGCACTGCCGCTGTGGCAAGCCAGGATAAGCGTCTCATGGACACTGCTGTTGCCACTCCCCGAGCCGCTGTGTCCGCTATATCCATAGCTATTTGAAGATTAGCCTTTGAACACGCATAGCCTTCCTTGAGGATCGATCGTAACAGCTCTTTATCGGCGTCCGATGATCTTTGGGACAGCGCTGTAAGCTTTGCGATACTATCGAAACTATGATTCGCCAATAGGGCTGTATAATTCGCTATGCGAAGGAGCAATGTGGCCGATGTATAAACTTTCCGGCCAAATATATCCAATTTCTTTGCCTCTATCAGCCCCCGCATTTTTCAGCTGTGGGTTCTTAGCCCTTTGGAGAGCTGCGTCAACGACCAAGGAGTTTGGCTGCGGGTGAGTAAAAAGGAATTCTGAGTCTTTAGATGCCACAAAGTAACGCTTTTTCGCCGGTTTTGAAGTTGTAGGAGTCGAAGCCGGTGTATGCCAAATTTCTGCTGCTGATTGGAGGATTGCCTCATCCATAGGGAGAGCAACCTTAGATTGTTGCTTAGGATGTAAATTTTTCCAGAGCTTAAATTGTTTCGTTGGAGTATCTGATAGCTGAACGTCCTGAGACTGGGCTACCCTCCTAAAAAGTTCTTGAAATTCTTTTGTGTCGTCCGGAGGAGAGGAATCCCCTTCAAACACTGCATCATCTGGGGAGGATGACGAAATATCTTTTGGAGATACAGTCCGTAGTTGATCGTCCGTATCCGATATCTGTCCCCCCTCAGGCTCAGATAGGTGAGCTGAAGGCAAGTGGTTCTGCTGACGAGGCGACGCCCTCTGCCAGTCTTGAATTGGAGGTGACTGTCGTGCTTCATGAGGAGTGTGGCAGCAGCACTGATGAGAACGAGAGTGGGGTCTCCCGTATTCAGAGGATGATCGGTGACTCCTATAATCAAAGTGCTCAGGGGACGATCGCCGCGAGGAATATCTGCTAACATACCCCCTATGATAAGATCTAGGCGGGGAGTAGCTTGGTGAGCGAGATCTGTATGATGATCCCCGATGGTAACAGTGATACCGTTCGCGATGAGCAGAATGACGAGACCTTGATCTCCATCGCGGGGAAGGCATTGTTTGGCTATGAGACGCCGAGAAATGTCTGACCCTCGCTGAATGAGAGGGAGAAATTGAAGGTTCAGGTGATGGTGAAATTGAGTGTCTCGGTATTGACTTCCTAGCAGCCTTTGTCGGGACTGTAGAGGCAGGAGGAGCCTCCCTCCCTTCTACCGATAAGGAACAAATGGCGGGGGGAGGAAAATGAGCCTCCGTCATATTCACAGCGTTATCATGCTGCTGTGCTGTAATCCTGCACGGCACCGCAGCCAGCTCCTTGCCCGCTGCAGCTGCGAGAGTAGCGTGATCCGCCGGTGCCGACTCGGCACGGTGGGGGCGCTCTGCCGGCCCCGTTCGTTCCGCTCCCCGGTGCCATCTGGCAATGCGGCATCCGGTGCCGAGCACGGTGCCGGCTTGTCCTGGCCCCCCATAGCCGTTTGCGGTGCCGCTCGATGCGGCTGGGCAGACTGTCGCGGCTCCAGCCCCTGTGGCGGTGCCGAGCGTTCCGCAGCGACCGTGCTTGCGTTAGCGACTCCAGCACCTGTGGCGGTGCCAATCGCTCTGCGTGAGTCAGGCTCTCAGCGGGGCGCAAAGCCGGTGCCGATAACGAACGGCTTGGCGGCATTACCGATTGCACCTGGTGTGACTTTCCTGGTTGTCTCGCCAGCCCGGACGTACCAGGCTTATGTCCCTGACCAACTCGGGAGAGTGAAGGAGGCGGAAGAGAGCACGTAGGAGAGGCTCTCTTCTTTGACACCATTACCGCTGGCGATTTTGATCTCTTTCTCTGCCCTGCGGGAGGCTCTGAGACCTGATCCTCAGAAGGCTGTAAAGCCTTATCACACAAGAGCAGTTTTAAGTGCATATCTCTTGCTCTGCGTGCCCTCGGTGTCAATTTCGCGCAATGGGCGCATTTTTGTGGCACATGCGATTCCCCTAAGCACCTCACACAGGCTTCGTGCCCGTCAGATGCAGGCATGGCTTCTTTACAGTGAGCACACCGTTTAAACCCCGGTGACCCAGGCATAATGTTCTCGGCGTCACTATACACAAGTAATTCCTTAAACTAAACTTAGTAACTATCGAAAAAAAATATTTTTTTAACCTTAAGTAGCACGTAACTAACTATATTAACCAAAGTTGACTATCTATAATCTTTCTTCTTCTCTTCTCTTTTTTTTTTTTTTTTTTGGTGGGGGGGACAACCGGCGTCCCCCCGGCAACCGCGGGCGGTTGGGAGGAACTGACGAGGGGGGGGGGACAGACCGTTGCAAAGGCGCGAACGCCGCGCGCATGCGCAGTCCGGCCCGGCTACGGCTATGGAAATTTCCGACCAGCGGCACCGGGACGGGACTCGACACCTTGAGTGGAGCACCCACGGGGACCACTCGAAGAAGAAAGGGTTGTTTTTTTGGTAGGGCTATGAAAAAAAATGAGGGGAAAGTTGAAGAACTTGGATAATGAGAAAAACTGAGGAACTCTGAACTTTTTTCCTAATTTAGGTGAAGAAAGGGTGACTGAAGGGGATCTCTGTCTGCTAGCAAGGGCAGTAGAGCAGGAACGGAGGCATTGTGCATTCGCCTAACAGATGCCAACGGTCTGAGGAAATGCCAGTGCACATACACCACATGGCAAGGCACTGCCAAAAGAAATCTCTGGTCAGCGACATGAGGATGCACCAGCACCCACAGTGCAGCAGCCACATCACTCGAAGAAGAACAGTTGTTCTCTCTTGCCACAGAGGACAAGAAGCAATGGGTTCAAACAACAACTTAACAGGTTTTAAGTCTCAGGAAAAACTTCATAATTGTAAGAAGAATAGGACAAGAGGGAGATTGTGGATGCTCCTTCACTGTAAGTTTTCAAAAGGAGGCTGAACAGCCATCTGTCTTAGATGGTTTAGACTAGGTATATTAAAATTAATATAATTAAGTAACTATATAACCACTGAACTTTTCAGCAGTTACATGGAAGGCAGCAGTCAGCTCCCTGGGAGCTGGCTTTTAAGTTGCTCCCCGCCTGTACTGGCTCCGCCTCCCCCTCCCTACTCACATGCTGCTGCCTCTGATAGAGGCTCACTGGGTATACACAGTTACACTTTCAGTTTAGATGCAACAAATACTACATCTTGCCTAAGGCACACTAAAGATTACTAAATATCTGTAAATGCCAAAAAACAAAAAGCAATGTACCATTTTCTCTGAACCATATTTCCAATGGGCTTGCACTGTGAATTAACAAGACCACCTATAAGAGAGTGAAGTTCATTATTTACAACAATTTAGAGCTTGGCTCTTTGAAGACTACCAACAAGGAGTTGCAAACTGTCAATGAAGTTTTAAGTACAGACATTTTAAAGTGATTTTTCTCTTTCATATAAGCCTCTGAAGTCTCAAATGCCAAATACAAACCCATGTCCCAAAAATGAAAGGTGGTATATAACCGTTTAAAATTCCATAGACATGGAGTGGGCAAAATACAGCCCCACGGGCCGGATCTGGCCTGCCCAACTTTTGTATCCAGCCTGCTCAGCTGATGAACAGA